GGTAAAGCAGGGGAACCCCAGCAGCCAGTGCCTTGCTTCTGTGAAATGCTGTCAGTATACCCTCCGGAGATCCCAGTTAGAGGTAACATTTCCGCCTGACCCCAAATACGGGGATCGGTCCGACCCCCAGTGGAGGGGCAAGCCCCTCTCACCAGGAGCACTGGCACACCCCGAAGTCCCCAGCTTTGGCTGCAGCCAACACCTGGTGCCTCTGAGGAAGGGCGCGTGAGCCCGAGAGCTTTCAAATAACCCTAGGCGCGGCGGAGCAAGGCCTCTTGGCTGCGCATGCGTGACCCACAACGAGCGTGCACAGGGCGGCGCGGCCCCCTCCCTTCCTACCCCGGAAGCCTTTCCACGTTTCCTCGCCTCGGGTTGGCTGCACTGCTCGGCCAGTAGGCTCCGCCGTTGTTGGCGAGTGGGCGCTAAGGGGCGAGGGCAAGATGAACGGCGCTCAAGCTCAGGCGTGGAGCAGGCGCTTTGCCACCATGTACGTGCTGGGCTCAGGGAGTCTGCTGGGCTGCGCCGTCTGCTACGACAGGTTGAGCGGCGAAGGCAACTTGCACCAGAGGCAGCCTAACAATGCGAGCCGCCTCCTCACCCGCCCTGGTGGTACGCATGCGCAGTGGGGAGAGGTGGTTTTTTTTCCGGGAGGTCCTTTCCCACGCGTACGCAATAGGAAGACTCCCGCCTTGCCCAGCGCGTGGGTGATGGGGGTGGGGCGTTCTGTGCTCATACCTCTCACGGGCTTTTGGGCACGTGTGTGCTAGGCGCGGGGCGGGGAATGGGGGTGGGTTGTATTTTCCTTTTTAAAAGCTTTTCTGCCCTGTAGCTTTACCACTTGGACAGCAGGCAGAGTCCCTCAGCTGCAGTAAAGGCAAGATCAGGAGTCGGGGCTGGTTGTTGCCTTCTCATCCTCCTAAGCCACCATTGGCCTAGGTCAGGGCTGCTCAACCTCTAGCCCGCTGGCCCAGTGTGGCCTGCGAACCTTGGCATCCCCTGTGGGTTGGCAAACTTGGCAGTGAGGAGCGATGGAAGGGCTATGTGCCTGGATCCAGCCTTGCCGGGGCCATGCGGGATTAGGGCCAGGCCCTGTTCCTGGCCCAGTCCTCCCCATTTCTAGCATGTGTCCAGGTTGGGGTTGCTCTGCCCTGTCCCTGTCCCTGTCCCACACAGACAGATGGGCTGCACACGCCCTGCAGCCAGCTCAGTTCCCATTGACTGCTTCCAGTCTGTGCAAGGACTTAGTGCTACCCATCTGCAGGGTGAAAAGGTTGGGCACCACTGGTCTAGGTCTTTATGAACAGACACCTCAGTAGTTAGCCCAAGCTAAACTCAACAGAGTAGCTCTGACAAGGCAATAAGGAGGATTGTGTATGCTGCTAGTTTAGGGCTTTGGAGGTGAGAGTGCCGGGGACAAGAGTGACCTTGTGAAAAGGAATGCCGCTTTACTCCCTTGACTAGGAAAACCTGTATGCAAATTTGCTCAGGTCCCTGGGTTACGCTGCAGTGTAGACGTGTTCCAATTAATCCGTTTCCCAACGTTGGGATGTATGAGGGTTTCAGAAATGAGTAGCAATTTTGAAATAAAACTGTTTTGGGTGTAACGATCATTAACTAGTCTAGGTCTTCATCGTTTCTCTACGTAGTTGTAAACGCTGGGTGCGTTTGCCAGTAGCCACCATTAGTATTCCTCAGTGTGCACAAAATGGGTTTTATGTTAAACATACCATTACATTTCTGAAACACCCTTGTAGATAACCACAAAAACTGAATAGAAATGTAGCTACTCAGATACTCTGATAATATGAGCAATGATGAAATGGAAAATGTATGGGTGGAACTTTCTCACTATAAAGGATTGACTTGTTTTGTTTTGTTTTTTTAATTTTAGTTCCGCGAAATCCAAACATCAGGCAAGAAGAACATCATTATGTAAACTGGCTGGGCATGCCTGTAACAACAGCCGTGGTCTATGAAGAAAGACCTAAACGTTTTTGGCATTTGAAAGCGTTCTTTAACGGTACGGATGACTCTGACCCAGAGAAGTAATGGATTCTAGCTGAAGAACAGATTTTGCCCCCGTTTGCTGTTAAAGTCAAGAGCTTCACATCTCAAATAATAAATTTAAATATAGCAAATCTCTTCAACTCCCTTTAAACCATTGCCTGAGAGTGTCTCTGTAAATATTAATGTGATTACATAAGAAGTTTCTAAACTAGTTTTGATTTTAATGAATTTACATGCCACATTGCATCTAGTAGATTAGTATGGTTGTACTTGTTACATGTAGAGAGGCACTGAGAACAGTAGCTCGGAGGGAATAAGAAATCACCTACACTACTAGTTTAGAGCAGGGGTACTCAGCTTGCATTCCATGGGCCAGACTTGGTCTGTGGCATCATGTCATGTGGCTGGCGGGGCTCCTCAGTGGTCTGGAAGCTTGGCAGTGGGGGAGTGGTGCTACTGTTCTCCTGCTGATAACCTCCAGGTCTATGTGGATCCCCAGGCCCTGTGCACTGGGTATGGCACCTGATCCCAATGCAGAGGGCCTGGTGGGGGCAGTGCTGGGCCCCAGGGCCCAATGCTGGTGTGGTGAGCTGGTAGGGAATGGCACCAGGCTTCCACAATTCCCTTTTGGCATGGGAGGGGGCTGTGTGGGGCCCTAGCACCCAATCCCAGCATGCAGGGGTAGAGAAGGGGTTGTACAGGGCCCCTGGGGCCCGATCCTGTGTGGTGGGAGGGGTTGCTGCTGAGTCCTTGGACCCAATCAAGGTGGGAGGAGGTGTTGCTTGGCCCCTGGAACCCAATCGTGCCATGCAGGGGGCAGTGTTAGGCCCCCAGGACCCAATCATGGTGTATAGGGCAAGGAAGGGATGGTGCCAGGCTCCAAGGTCTGCTCCAGCCCACACATGGGGGCCCCATGCCGGTCATCTGCCTCATGGGGCCAAACGGTAACATCCCTGGCTTAGGGCTTTGAATGACAGTGCCTTATGTGGTAGGTGCTCTTCTGAAAGTGATTGCTGTTTTACTTCCTTAACTAATGAGCAAGTCAGTGTTTAAACCTAGCAATTAAAATGGAAATTAATCCTTGTAAGAAGATAGAAATCTAAGCTTACAAAAAATTGAGCAACAAAATGCATGCACCTTGACATGAGTGAGCAACACCAAGTGCTTCCTCCTCCTCTTTGTGAAGGACTGGGGCTAAAAATGCAAAAATTCCAGTACTTACTATATAGTATGATAAAAAGAAGTAGTTTCCTTGGTTCGTGACTTGCTTGTTCTAGCACCAGATCACTTACCTGCAGTATGGTAGTTTGTTTCTAGTGTATAAAAGTGTAATTGCTTTAGCAATAAGTTTAAGTGTGCACTCCATCTGAAAAGTGACTTAAGAATTGCCACAGCTTGTTCCACAGCTCTGCTCGTGTTGTATTCAGGATTTTTTACCTATTGCTTGGTGTATCAATTCAGGGGCGGGGAATTATGGCAGGCAGAGAGCTGGAATGTCTGCTGGAACAGGTGTGCTGGAGGAGGGGAGAGGTTCTGTTTGCCTGATCCAGCCCACGGACCAGCTCCATGTCACCCATGTAGCCTGCAGGGAATGAATGAGTTTGACACTCGTAGCTTAAATCTCAAGTTAACCTCTAATAACAAGCTTCCATTTTCTGATTGCTTATCAATGTAGTTTGGCTTGGTTATGTTGTGTTTGGGGGTGATCAGTAGAATGGAAAGATTATCATTTGACTTTCAGAGCAGAGCAGGGTTTTTCAGGAGTAGCAGTTCGGAGGTAGTTGCCTTACAGAATTATAGCACCTGTTATGGAAATTGGAGAATGGAAAAAAGACAGTAGGAATGCCATAATTAGGCAAATACTCTTGACTGCTTTTTTTTCAGGAAACAAGCCGTTAGCCTATCTTAAATACTGCAGGGGTATACACCAGAGAATATTAAAAACATGAGGTCTCGAGAGGTTTTGTGCTTACCCAGCTAGTCCTATAATTCAGAGCCTAAGTTCACGTTAGCTGTGATGCTGACCCAGAATTACTGCTTTTTATTGCAAATAGGCATTGCTTAAAATAAAATAGTACTAGTTCCTGAAAAAGCCATGGCTTGATCTGTATTTCGCACGTGGCACGAAACAAACAAAAAGAAAAGAACAGCAACATGTTTAGGGAAAGGAAGGCCTTCAAAAGGCGTTACAAAGACTAGCAAGTAGTTGAAGATTTCCATAGCACATAATAAGGCTTATTCACGATCACCATCAGCTGCTTTCATGTAACTGCAGGTAAGAGAACTCCATGAATGGATTATATTTCAGAGTAAACAAAAAAAAAAA